TATAGCCCAAAAGGCTTCATCTATAAGTAAAATATCTTTTTTGGGCAGCACAGTGGCTAACTTCCACCTGGCAGTACTAGGGTCGTCGGGTTCGAATCCCAACCATGGCACCACCTGCCTGGAGTTTGCATGTTCTCCCTGTACCTGCGTGGGTTTCCTCCAGCTATTGTGGTTTCCTCCCACACTCCAAAGACATGCTGGCAGATTAATTGGATCCTGTCTAAATTGGCCCTAGTATGTGTATGTATGAATGTAAGTTAGGGACCTTAGATTGTACACCCCTTGAGGGTTTGGGACTGATGTGAATGTAATATATACATACATACACACACACATATAATATATATAAATATATATATATATATATATATATATATATATACACACACACACACACACACACACACACACATATATATATATACATACATACACACATATATATATATATACATATATACACACACACACACAGGTGAAACTCGAAAAAATAGAATATCGTGCAAAAGTTCATTTATTTCAGTAATGCAACTTAAAAGGTGAAACTAATATATGAGATAGACTCATTACATGCAAAGCAAGATAGTTCAAGCTGTGATTTGTCATAATTGTGACGTGCTTTATGGGGATGCTGACTTCATTTTCCAGCCGGCTTTCACGGCTTGAACTATCTTGCTTTGCATGTAATGAGTCTATCTCATATATTAGTTTCACCTTTTAAGTTGCATTACTGAAATAAATGAACTTTTGCACGATGCGACGATCTGTACTGTATATGTTAAGTGCTGTGTAAATTGAAGGTGCTATATAAGTACATGAAATATATAAATAGTGTGTACACAACTTTTGACATCCGATTCAGACTTTCCAAGCAAAAATTTCCAAATAGACATACTCCCAAATTTTTTTCTTACAGAACTAATGATTTTCGTTACATGCGTACTGTATTCGTATAAAAAAAAAAAAAAAAAAAAAAAAAAAAAAAAAAAATCGAATAAAAAAAAGACTGCACATGATCATAAACAATAAACAACAAAAAAAAAGCCTTTGACGTTTGAGAATTTTCATACAATTAGTACCATCCTCAGTTTTGACTTGCTGTGAAACACCGAGGAAAACCAGAAGATCATTTGTCCAGTTTTCTTATAGTGCATACTGGGCTTTAGGCAGGCCATACATGATCATTTTTTTTTTTGTTCAACCAGCTTGTTGAGCGAAAAAAAAAATGATCTGATTCCCCAGTCCACGCATTCCAAAAGGATGGGGGAGTCACACCCACTGAGCTATTGTATTTTGATGGCAGGGAACCTGCCCAGTTAGCTGAATACAATGATCAGTGTTGCTGGCTATAGCCAGTGACACTGATTATTTGAGAGAAAAATGACAGGCTGGTTATACACAATTGGTTGATAGATCAACTTGTCTAGTATTTATATAGTACAGGTACGTACAGTACATAGTACTGAAAAATGTGTGCAATTTATTCCAGGCAGAAGTGCTAACCACTTAGCCACTGTGCTGCAGTCTCAAGAATGACAGTGGGTATTTCAGAGGAGAGAAGGTAGGGTAATCAGAGAAGTCATAAAAAAAGTTCTACTGGTTGTATACAAATAGCTAGCCCATACATGGATTGATATTCAGCCAGTCCCTGCTAAATTTTGATCCATTTATAGCAGGCTTTAGATGTCTCAGACTATGTTGGCGAGATCTCTGCACCTCTCTGTTTCTGGGTCTGCACACCATGTGGCCATTATATGGTCCTCCCATTCTACCCATTGCATTTTATACCATGTAGAATACAACAGACGTTTCTTGAGATGGTGAACATGCATGTATAAGAATAAAGGGGCAGAGGGATCCAACAACTGAAGTATCTGGGACAAATGAAAAGCCAGAGGTTGAGGCAGCCCAATAGGCTTCACCTATAAGTAGGATATCTTTTTTGGATGGACTGACCCTTTAGTAAATCCAGTGGAACTTAAAGCAGAACCCTAGCTAAAAATAAAAAGCATGTAAAATACTAAATGTGTATGTAGGACTTTAAATGTCATCACTTTTGATTGCACACATATTATCATAAAACATATGTTATTCTTATTAAGTGTGGTCTTAACTGCTAACTCTATCTTTCAGACCTTGTTTCATCCATGTTTATGGTGTAGCATTATTGCTATACAGGATCTATATAGCGCCAACAGTTTGCTCAGCGCTTTACAAAATGAAGGCAGACATTACACCCCAACACTCCGCTCCTTCAGCCCAACTACCCCCAAGTAGGTCTCTAAGGTCTTCACTGAAGCCCGCCTCACCACCTGCCCCCTGGACCCTATCCCCTCACAGCTCCTCCAGTCACCCCCCACCCTCCATCATTCGCTCCCTCACCCACATCTTCAATCTCTCCCTCTCCACCGGCAACTTCCCCTCCCCTCTAAAGCACGCACACATCCCCCCCCCATACTCAATAAACCCTCCCTTGACCCCACTAACCTTAACAACTTTAGACCCATCTCCTTGTTGCCCTTCACTTCCAAGCTCCTTGAGCGCCTGGTCTACAATCGCCTAAGCGCCCACCTCACTCATAACAACCTCCTTGACCCCCTACAGTCTGGCTTCCGTCCCCTGCACTCCACCGAAACCGCCCTACTTAAAATCACCAATGACCTGCTAACCGCCAAAGCCAATGGCCACTATTCTATCTTCCTGCTCTTCGACCTCTCCACGGCCTTCGACACTGTTGACCACCCTCTCCTCCTTGCCAAACTGCTCTCCCTTGGCATCAAGGATGCTGCTCTCTCCTGGTTCTCCTCCTACCTTTCCCAACGCTCCTTCAGCATCACCTACAACACTGCCACCTCCCCCTCCCTCCCCCCTCTCTGTCAGGGTCCCCCAAGGCTCTGTCCTCGGGCCCCTCCTCTTCTCCATCTATACCTCCTCCCCCTTGGCAAACTTATTCACTCCCACGGCTTCAATTACCACCTCTATGCCGACGACACCCAAATTTACCTCTCCACCCCCCACCTCACCCCTCACTCTCTGCCCGCATCGCCCACCTCCTAAACGACATATCAGACTGGATGTCGCTCCATTTCCTCAAACTTAACCTATCCAAAACCGAGCTCCTGGTCTTCCCCCCCCCCCCCCGTGCCCCCCCATCCTCTCCATCACTACTAACAACAACGCCACCATCTCTCCCACCCCACACGCCAAAGTCCTGGGTGTCACCCTGGACTCCCACCTCTCCTTCCTACCCCACATCCAACTGCTATCTAGATCTTGCAGGCTCCACCTCCGCAACATCTCCAAGATACGCACATTACACACCACCAAACAACTCGTACACTCCCTCATCATCTCACGCCTGGACTACTGCAATTCCCTTCTCACTGGCCTACCCAAACGAACGCTATCCCCACTCCAGTCGATCCTAAACTCAGCGGCTAGACTCATCTACCTCACCAACCGCTCCAGATCTGCCTCCCCCCTCTGCCAATCCCTTCATTGGCTCCCCGATTGCCCAACGCATCAAATTCAAACTGCTAACTCTGACCTACAAAGCCATTCACAATGCCGCCCCGAACTACATAACTGACCTGATACCCAAGTACTACCCTACCCGTGCCCTCCGCTCCTCACAGGACCTCCTGTTCTCTAGCTCCCTGGTCTCCTCCCACGCCCGATTGCAGGACTTCCCCCATCCTCTGGAACTCCCTACCCCAATCCATCAGACTGTCACCTACCCTCCTCACCTTCAGGCGCACCCTGAAAACCCTCCTCTTCAGGGAAGCCTACCCCAACCTCACCTAACACCCGACCTCACCTAACTACTAACCTCCTCCACTCCTCCCACCACTCCATCCCCCACAGCCATCTCCTCCTGTACCACCTTCCCCTCCCTCCTAGATTGTAAGCTCGAAAGAGCAGGGCCCTCGAACCCCTCGTGTATTGTATTGTTACTGTCTTGTCTCATGTTCTGTCCCCCTTGCTACTGTACAGTGCTGAGCATACCCTTTGGCGCTATATAAATACTGTATAATAATAATAATAATAACAGTTACAATACAATTTGGTGCATAAGGAATAAGAGGGCCCTGCTTGTTAGAGCTTGAAACATTCAGCATTTACAACCCCCCCCCCCCGGTTCATCTCACCACAGCCAATGGTGTAGTCACACTTGTAGTCCATTGATACGTCCTCCAGTCCTGTAATTGAAGGTTCATACCTTTGTATGGACAACAAGCTGAAGGAATAGCCAAAGCATTGCACCCACAATCCACCGATGGTGACTGCAATGCTTTGCAAGCTTAAATGAAAACAAATAGCAAATGCATATTTTTGTTTTTGCAGAATGGGTGCATTTACTTTTACTTTTTTTCAAAAAGTGGAATTATCTTTTAATTGCACTGATCAGGGCGGGGGGGGGGGACCTAAGAAAAGGAGGATTGGGGCTGCTCTGTGCAAAACCATTGTGCAGAGCAGGTAAGTATACCATGATTTTTTTTTAAAAAAAGCCCTACATACTCAGTATTTTATGTACTTCGAATGTAGGTCAGAACATGAGCTGGTGATATGAAGTCAATATTTGAACCCCCAATCTCTATTAGCCTTTCCCGAGGTCAGTGTTTGAATCTCCACTCTCTATTGAGCTTAATATATACAAAAATGAAAAAAAAGTCAGTAGCCCAGCTAAAGTAAAAATAAATAAAAATGTTTTCCTGCAATACTATACCTTCAAAACTGTGCAAATGAAGATGTGACCTTGGTACTTGCTCTGGTTCCTATACCTGTAAAGATATGAACTGGATTTGGCTTTAGATTTCAGTATAGTATTCTTTAGAATGCATTTCAGATGGCAACAAATAAAGGATATCACTCCTTGTCACACACAGGCTATAGAAATAGGCAAAGGTGATCCGCTGACACTAAACCGACTGGCGAAAATATTTCATTTCTTGGGAAAGCAAGAAATGGCTACAGGAATCTGTAACATGGCCCTGGATGCGCTTCAAGATCCGAAGCTGAACTGGCAGGCTTACCTAACACGCTCCCAGGTAATATCCGAAGCTGAAATGGCACCCTTAGGACTCATGTTGGCAGCCGTTTAGAAAGCCATCCGAGCTTAGCGCAACCAGAGCTCCCTCTGCCACTCACCTGAATGCCCTACTGTAAAGTTTAAGCTGGCCAAAGTAGGATCGAAATTCGGCTTGTTCAGCAGGAACCGGACAAATTTTGATCCATCTATTGGCAGGCTGGTTGTACTAAAGTCAATCTATCAATTTCAGTACAACCAGCCTGTCTGGGGTTTTTTTTTTTTTTCTTTTGCATGATTACTGCCACCGGCTATAGCTGCCAGCAGGGATCATTGTGTTTTCTGTTGGTTTGTTAAAATATACCGTTTTAATATATTGTATCTGTTCAATAAGTGCAGGAAAAAAAACTGTCCATCCAGCCACAAATCTTTATTAAGATTACTTCCTGCACTCTCTGCCTCTGGACTGTTACAAGTTATTATTGTTTCCTTTTATCTCAGTGGACTACAACCCCCCCCCCCCCTTTATGGAGAAGAGAGGGAGGTGTTATTTAGTCCCAACACTTTTTGTCCTAGGGTGACAATGCTACTCAGTATGACTGTCACCCTAGGACAGGAAGCATGGTCAGGGCAAGATTACCAGGTTAAAATAAAGGGAAAAAAGTATTAAAAAAGAAAACTAATCTAGCCACCAGGTCTAAGAACCATTAAGCTGCAATGCTATCAATTTATGTTCTTGGGTTTTGGTAAACGTTAAGCAAATCATTTTTTATAATGTTTCTTGCACCGGGGATCATTCAGGTAACAGCACTTCCTGGTGAAGGCTGACAATGCTAAGCCACTTCTTTGCAATTAACAGTGGTGTTGTCAACCTTCAGTGCGAGCTCCTCCAGTTGGCCATTGGGCTACTAGCTGAGAGGCAGCCCAACAGCCAGCTGAAAGAGCACAAATGTAAGGCAGACAACACTGATGCTCATTGCAAAACAGTGGCTTAGCCTGCAACAGTGCTGTTGCTTGCAGCAATTCCATGTAAAAAAACTTTGCAACCGATTCCCAAAAAACAATGTGCTGAAAAAAATTCTGTACAGAGAGGTATTATACTGAAAAACATATTTTAGTTATACCTATGCCTACATTTTCTTTCATCTGGAGGAAGGAAGGAGGAGCTTTCTCAGCTGAGCACACTGCCTTGCCTGCATGCCTGAGCTAAGGGCAGATAGATTCCAGGAAGTAAATACTATATGAATCCTCTGCCCTTACTCAAGATGGCCATGGCTAGAAATGCTAGGGGGTGTTTTCAAAATGATTTCTCAACAAAATAAAGAATGGAGACATAGATGGATAGGTCAGTTTGCTTTGAATAGTAAAAATTAATGAAATAGCATTTTCAGTTTGTTGTGTTCAGATACAGTTTAGTTCCCCTGAACAATTAAGGATTGCATCTATATAATTTTATCTTTTTCTGTGCAGATTTACATCAGAATGTATATGAGAGACCTAGAAAGGGCAAAGATGGGATCATATGGACTGCCAGACAGAAACCATCTTACCAGTGCCAAATCAGACCTTGACAGTATCCATAAATGTGTATCCCTGTCTGAAGACGTACCTTGAAATGGGACAAGTAAGTGGAACAGTTACATATACTAAGCCATGTTAAACATGCACCCTAAACATTTACCAGTCACTTAAAGGAGAAGTATGGCCAAAGCTTTGTTGGGTATACGTCTATGGATCATAGGAGTGCAGTTTGTTCTGTACTTCTGTGACCCATTTTCAGCCGACAGCAGGTTAAACATCACAGGGTCGGTCCAGGCCTAAGAGCTCATGTACACGGGACGTTTGGAAAACTCTTCTGAACGATGGAAACTGACTGCTGGAAAACGTAGGTTAAAAAATGTCAGTTTAGCCGTGTTTGCATACCGCATTTATGTGCGTTTAGAAGCGTTTTTAAAAGATAACCTCAGAAGACCTTCCCAAATGCCCAGAATGCACTGAAAAATAGTAAATAACTACTTCAGACATTTTTATATGCATTTGCATTTTGAAAAATAGAGAGAGCAGTATGTCTTGAGATGACCTGTCTTTTCTGGTTGTATTCACTATGGATCCCATCATGAGCATAATGCGGCACGTTCTACCATTTTGTCCTTCACGCGAAACCTGGAACTGACTGCGCTGGTGTATTAGGTCCATTTGATTACATGGAAAACGCTTTGCATGCATTTCTGATGATGAAAAAAGGCTCTGGACAGCATCTGGATATGGAACAGTTAAAAAACACTTCTAAACGCATATGCTTCTAAACGCGGTTAACCGCATTTACAAGCTTTTGGCGTTTGAAACACCAGTAAAATCTACTCCTGAACGCAAGTTTGGTGTGTTCAAAAAAATGACTGTAAACTCAACTGCCTGTAAATGACTATGTGTACATGAACACATAGGAAAACATTAGGGAGAGTTCAGGGGCCGCTGAAAAAAGTGCTGAACAGCTCCTGAACGTCAGTTTAGCAGCCTGAGTGTACATGAGCCCTAAAAAGAGCCCAACCATGTGGTCAGGATCCACCCAGAAAACTGGATCGGCACTTAACTCAGTCTCTCAGCAATCCACCAAGAGCCTGAGCCAGCCCCTCCTGCCCCCTCCACAGTCCAGAACTCCAGTGAGCGATGTAGAGGCAGAACAGAGAGCCGGAGACTGACAGTCACCAGCTCTCTGCAGGCTAAGGTCCAAGAGCTGAGCAATCAGCTGATTTTTCTGTCTATAGCAGGCCATACATGGTTTAAATTCCGAACGATTTTTCGTCCGAAAATCGAAAATGTTGTTCACTCGGTAATTCAATGGTGCCATCAATGATTTAGAAAATTGGCCGACCAAGTCAAAGTTCACCCCATATAACAAGCGAAACCTCTGTACCTTCCAGGTCACGGCTCATGCGCATATTCTTTTCGGAAAAAAACGATCGTACGATTTGACCATCGTGTCAAAAATTGGTAGTTTTTCACAAATTTTCCAACATGCCCGATCACCGAAAAAGGGAGGAACCACGAAAATTGCCCGGTGCCATTGACCCACTAACAGAGCGAAAATCGGCCGATTATTCTTAGGTCCGATTTTCAGACAAAAAAATTGGTAGAATTTCGACCCATGTACGGCCGGCCATAGAAGCGGCAGGGAACAGCTGCAGGTCGGTACTGCAGACATCGAGGTATGAATTTTTTTTTTGCGATTCACAAACTTCTCTTTTAAAAATAATTTAATTTTTATTAATGTGTTTTGATCCCCAGGGGACAAAGTACATGTAGTACCTCGTCCCGTCTTCCTATGTGCTGTCTAAGACTAGCTGTCATGTTGGACAGGGCGCCCCTCTTCCCTCTACAGATGTCTGACAACACAGCTAGCATGGAGATGACTACTTTGACAGACGGCACTTTTCTCAAAGGATGTATCCACATGCCTGGATTATTTTAGCTGACAACCCCTCCTCCCCCTGCACTCTTCTGTCTTGGGGGAGTGCATGGAGACAGAAAAAAGTGCAGTTGTCAAAGAAGCCATCTCCTTGCTAGCTGCATTGTCAGATAACTGTGTGGAGGGAGGAGGGGTGCCCTGTCCAATCTCACAGCAAGATGTAGTACATAGGAAGATGCGACAAATTACAACATGTACTGTGTCCTCTGGGGAACAGAACACATTAAATATCAGTTCACCTTTCATAACATATTACACCCATATTTAGGGTGTAACATGTTACGATCAGACTGCCCCCCACCCCCCGATGTGACAGCTAGCGGGGATCTTCTCCTTTCCGCCGGCTGTCACAATTTTGAAAAAAATCGCAGCTGCACGGGGCTCCGCCTCTCCGGCCACATCACTCATTCACAGTATTCTGAGAATGGGAAAACTATGGGAATGGGAAAAAGTTCCGACAGCCTTTGCGACTGTTGGTTTGTAGTTTTCAATAAATGCGCCGCGGTAGTTCATTGAGCCTTCCTGTCAGTAAGTACCTGCTTGCCCGTACGAGATGTATGAGCAAGAAGGTATACTGACAGGTTGGGGGAGACCTGCACGGCACCATGGATCTGATGATCACTGTGCAATGCTTTAGAGCAGGAGTGTCAAACTGGTGGCCCTCCAGCTGTTGCAAAACTACAAGTCCCATCATGCCTCTGCCTTTAGTAGTCACGCTTGTAACTGTCAATCTTGCAATACCTCATGGGACTTGTAGTTTGACAACAGCTGGAGGGCCGCCAGTTTGACACCCGTGCTTTAGAGGCTCCAAAAACAAAAAATACTAAATGCACTTTTTGTACCTGCTAAAAAAAATGTGCATTTATTATTTATTGTTAAAAGGTGAACTTATCCTTTAATAATAAAAATTGAAGTGAGACAACTTCTTTAACCACCTTCCTCCATATAGTACAATGATGGGCGCAAGGTGGTTCTCTCGTTCTGATAGGACGTCATATGATGTCCTTCCATTCTCACCGCGCATGCGCGGCTGAGGGAGCGCGCAGCGCGGCAATTGCCGGTGCGCTGTGTCTCTCGGACACAGCGGATCACGGAAAGAGCCGAAGATGTCAGCTCGGTCATGTGATCAGCTGTGTCCAATCACAGCTGATCACATGTAAACACGGAAATGCTGGTTATGGGCATTTCTCTCCTCTCAAGCTGTCACGCTGACAGAGCAGAGGAGAGCCGGTAATCGGCTTTCTGCGGAGGGGACATGTACACTGATCATCAGGGCACTGATGATCAGTGTGCCCTGATGATCAGTGTGGCCCCAGAAGTGCCACCTGTCAGTGTCCATCAGTGCCAGCAGTCAGTGCTCATCAGTGCCACGTGCCAGTGCCCATCAGTGTCACATCAATGCCACATATCAGTGCATACCAGTGCACATCAATGACACATATCAGTGCCCATCTGAGCTGCCTTTCAATGTCACCCATCAATGCCAATCAGTGCCACTTATCAGTGCTGCCAATCAGTGCCACCTATCAGAGCCAGTCAGTGCCGCCTATCAGTGCCAGTCAGTGCCGCCTATCAGTGTCATGTATCAGTGCTGCCTTTCAGTGCCCATCAGTGATGCCTGTCAATGCTCATCAGTGCAACCTACCAGTGCCTCCTCATCAGTGCCCATCAGTGCCACCTAGAGTGTCCATCATTGCAGCCTCATTAGCGCACATCAGTGAAGGAGAGAAATCACTTATTTACAAAATTGTATAACAAAAACTAATAAAAAAAAATTTTTTTTTCAAAATTTTCAGTGGTTTTTGGTTTAAGAAAAAATAAAAATCCCAGAGGTGATTAAATACCACCAAAAGAAAGCTCTGTCTCAAAAAAATGATACAAATTTCATATGGGTACAGTGTTGCATGACCGCGCAATTATCATTCAAAGTGTGACAGCGCTGAAAGCTGGAAATTGGCCTGGGCAGGAAGGGGGTATAAGTGCCCTGTAGACTAGTGGTTAAAGGGACAGTCCAAGGCAAATTATTATTTCAGTTTTGGAACAGTCAGGACCCAGGTTCAGAGGTCACTTGTGTGACATCAACCTTACTGGCAAAGCTACTTTTCAGCATAGACACCCATCTTTAAGGAATTTCACTAAACCTGGAAGCCTTCTGGACCTGGAAGTGGAGCAAAACTGGGTTCTGCTTTACCAATCCCCCTTCAACATGCAGGACTGCAGGGAATTTATTCTTCCATTTTCAGCCCTGCCACCATTCTGGTCTTGGGTCAGAATGACATGTACCTGGTCCTGCAGCCGCATGGGATACTTACAGTACATCACATCTCCCAGGAGGCTGCAGGATGGGCACACAAGAGCATTCTGGCGGATCATCAGAACTGGCTGCTTACACCCAGAAGAGGCATTCAGCTGAGGATGACCAAGATGACATCTCAACCAAGATGGCGGCACCTGAATAGCAGGTCACAGAGGGACAACGCTGGATTCGCTGTGTGGGTGAGTATGTGCTTTGAAGAGCACTACAGCACTGCAGGTAAGTGGGAAAAAAAACTACTGGGGGTGGGGGGAGTTGAGTACCGCTTTAAGGCTAGGTTCACATCTGTGTGGTTGGTGCCGCTGCAGATCCACACGAAAATCTGCCCGCACAGAGGAATGTGCACCTGCGGGCGGGTGCCATTAGTTCTAATGGCACGCCACCCGCACTGGAAGTCACAACCGTACTGGGAACCGAGGTTCCCGTGCAGGCTGCGGTTTCCAAAGAAGTTCAGGGACTTCTTCCCTGCGTGTCACAGGGCACGGAGTCCATTCAAATGAATGGGCTCTCGTGCCCGTGCAAAATGCAGCCTGCACGGCCACATATATGTGAACCGGGCCTAAGATACACATTTTTTATCGAGCATAAAATTGGACATGTACAAATGGCTATGTATTGTTCATTTCAGGTCTGTTATTACATGGGCGTGGATGCTGTCCAAGAACTGCTACTGACTGATGAAAACGCAATAAATAATGCATTAGTTTGCATTGCCAAAGCCATGGAGTTTGACATTAGTGATACTCTCCCCGAACTGCAGCTCCTGAAGGGAAAATGCCTTCGGGTCAAAGGTGAAGAACTAAATGCTATCAAGTGTGTTTCAAGCAAGCATTTCAGCTGGACAGCAAAGGCTCACTGGGCACAGAGACCTTCCGGTGCATAATGGAGACACTGCTGGGCCTATACCACCAGAACAAAATGGATGCCACAGAGCTCATCCAGGAAGTGGAATTGTGGGCAAAGCGGACTCAGGAGAAATACACATCAGAGGCTGTAAGCCAAGAATTACAGACTGTGTGCAGAAACAACACGGCAGAAATTGTAGATCTTTCTAAAGCAATGATCGCAATGGGCAAAATGGACTTGGTGAAGCTTTTGTTTCAGTCTATGAAGGTGAACTGCAAGAGGCCAAGTCTGAAGCTAAGCAGCCGGACCTCTTCCTTCTAAATCAAGACCTGTAAAAGAAATCCTTCTATGTAATAACATCATGTAAATGCTGGCAGTGATATAATCAGGCAAAGAGCTTTGTGAGAAGTGAAGTCATGCAGAGCAATCAGCGAGAAGTCATATTCTATTGTTCTGTCAACACTGAACCAATGAAAGCTGAAATATGATTGGCCGCTATGGGGTGCCGTGTCTCAGATCATTTGCACTGCCATATTAGATAAGTCTGTGTATATATTTTTTACAATTTAAATCCATTTTGATGATCATAAAGCTGTATTCTACAACCAAAAAAATGTTTTTTGTTATTAAAGATGAACTCCAGCCTTACAGTTTTACAGACTGCTCTCCTATATTGAAATGACTGATCTCACTACACACTGTGAACTTTGCACAGTGTGCATCAGCAGTTGCAGCACATTATATACAGACCACAGCATTTTCTGGCAGAAGGACATCCCTTTCCTGTCCAGTCTTACTGACTGTGACCCTTCCCTTTCATTCATTGGATTTCAATTTCTGAAATCATGGAGGCTTAGAATCACATGTGGGCATTACCATAGCTTCCTGTTTTCAGGCTGCTATATACTGTCCACTGCTGGCCCCTCCCACCAACCGTGATCTGCCTGCATTGCATAGAGATTATTATTATTATACAGGATTTATATAGCGCCAACAGTTTGCTCAGCGCTTTACAATATAACAGGAGACAATACAGCAACAATACAGTTCAAGACAAGAGGGTTAGGAGGGCCTGATCCTGGGAGCTTACAATCTAAGAGGGAGGGGCTGGTGGTACAAAAGGTAATAACTGTGGGGGATGGACTGATAGGAGGAGTAGAAGATTCCATTATTAGCTGAGGGCAGGATAGGCTTCCCTGAAGAGATAGGTTTTCAGAGATCGCCTAAAAGTGAGCAGAGTAGGCGATAGTCTGATAGATTGGGGTAGAGAGTTCCAGAGGATGGGGGAAGCTCTGGAGAAGTCCTGGAGACAAGCATGGGAGGAGGAGACAAGGGAGCTAGAGATCAGATGGTCATGCGAGGAGCGGAGAGGACGGTTTGGGTGATATTTGGAGACAAGACTGGTGATGTAATTTGGGAGAGAGTTATAAATGGCTTTATATGTGATTGTTAATGTTTTGAATTTTATTGTTGGGCAATGGGAAGCCAGTGAAGGGATTGGCAGAGGGATGGCAGATATGGAATGGTTAGTAAAGTGGATGAGTCTGGCAGATAAGGTGTTGTATTGGGTCCAAAATAAGGAATGTAATGAAAAAAGATTTATTTAATAATCTTCTTAGCATGTTAAAGAGGGGGGAGAGGAGGAACCAAGGAAAGGAAAATATGAGCAGATTAAATGTCAGGTTTAAGTCACACCCATTGGTGAATATTTCCTTTTGTCCATCCCTCAGCTTTGGGAGTCACACAAACACCGGCAGGCTGTTTCAGGCGAGAAGCTGTCACTTTCTGACCTCACAACACCTGCCTAAACCTCTCTTCTCTTTATCCCTCCTTATGGTTGGTAGTGGCTGACCAGACTATGCCTGTGAGGCAAGTTAAACTGTTATATATAGGGGCACCTTCCTTCCTGAGATAGCAGCACCAGCACTGTTGGCTAGCATTGCTCCTCTCCTCTTCTATTGGAATACATTTGAAGGCTATGGTGCACGAAGGTTTTCTGTTTACTGCAGTACCGTGAAACAGATGTTTGGGCATACAACCACCTTCTGAGGTCTATGGGGATGGGGCACACCAAGTACACCATACTACTAGACAGGAGAAAACCAGTTCATTGTATGCTAGAAGATTGTTTTACTGTTTTATTTATTAGACTATGTAAATCAAAATTATATATATATATACACATACACACACACACATACAGGAGCACCTCGGTTTACTAATGCCTTGGATAACGTAATTTTCGGTTTACGAATGAAAATCCATTGAAAATAATGGCTCGGTTTACGAATTTTTTTCGCCATATGAACGGATTAATTGGTTTTCAATGCATTTACAAATTTTGTTTTAATCATGTCCCTGTACAGTACTATGCCTTTAAAGTGCACTTTATAAAGAGTTTTGAACAGATAAAACTTTTTTTTGACTTTTCTCTGACCTCTGGAACGGATTAATTGGTTTTCAATGCATTTACGAAGTTCTTTTTATTCATGTCCCTTTATGCCGTTAAAGTGTACTTTATAAAGAGTTCTGAACAGATAAAACTTTTTTTTTACTTTTTTCTGACCTCTGGAACGGATTAATTGGTTTTCAATACATTTATGAATTAATTTTTAATCATGTCCCTGTACAGTATTTATGCCTTTAAAGTGCACTTTATAAAGAGTTTTGAACAGATAAATTACGTTTTTTTTAAGTTTTGTCTGACTTCTGGAACAGATTAATTGGTTTTCAATGCATTCCTATGGGAAAACGCATTTCGGTTTACGAATTTTTCACAATACAAAAAGTCCAGCGGAACGAATTAAATTCGTAAACCGAGTTGCGCCTGTGCATACATACCTACTATACATATGTATATAACATATAGATACACACACGATCACCCTTTACCTGTGTTTCCCCCACCACTGCAGCACTCTTGCAAGGTAATTATACACATCATTCTGTATGCGTACCACTTTGGTCCAATGACATCACTTCACCTTCTTCAACCTCTGGCATTAGGTGGTTCCTAAATTCTGTACAGAGCATGTCACCGCTCTCTAGCATGCTCCTGTGACCCCAGGGTGGAGGTAGAGGTTTAAATACCTGGGCTCACAGGAAGTGGGTTGAATGAGACTCGGCATCTTTCATCCCAGAAGAAGAGTAGTGCCACATTGCTGGATAGCTGAATCTACAGAAGACACCACTGGAGACACAACAAGTATTGTTGCTGGAGCTGCTTGTTTTTTGGGGGGTGATTTACACATTGCTTTACCTGAGTCAAGTTTATCCAATAAAGTCAAAGAAAGCTGTGATAAGCAAAGAGCAGAATCTGATAGCAATCAATCAGAAACCATCTGATAATCACTGCAGTACACTGGAGTCTGGCATTTGTGGGCTCTACACTTTGCACATGATTGGTGCTCCCGCCACTTTGCAGGGTGCATTTTAATGGAAAATTTGTCTTTATTATATTTTTGTATCAAATTTAACAGAACAAAAGATTAGAAATAATGAGAACATGTACAAATAAATGAACATACAGATATCACAGATGTGGAGATGATCCATGTGGGTGGGTGAAAGTGATTCCATATAGGAAGATGAAAGGATCAAACAGCATATATTATGGAAATATGAAAAAAACATGGTTTCAAGGGGGGAATCCCCATGTGGGACTTATGAAACAAAATTAAATAACTCTGTATAACAAAGTGTATAACCCAAACTAAGAAAAAATATAAAAAAGTATAAAAAAGAAAAGAAAAGAGAGAAGTTAGTTGTAGAAATAATAAAAGGCAAGAAGAGAGAGGGTGGGGAGGCAGGAATGGCAAAAGCAGAGTCAAAGAGGCCTCCTACCAGGGCCCCACTGGAATGACCCCGTGGCCTGCACCCAGGCGCAAGCCGCGTGGCCCACAGAGTACATTTTAGTGCATGGTGTAAAATATAAAAGCCCAATTTGTTGCTGTTGCCACAGAAATGAATGATAGCACACGTAAACGTGAAAACAACAGCCAGGCCCATAAAGTATTGATGCCAGAGATCAGCATAAAAGCCAGGAAAGTTGCATATTCAAAAGACGGTCAGCAATGGCAGCCTAACAAGGGTTTTCATCTCATTGCATTAATAGAATGCAGAACCTAGAATGGCGCCCCCCCACTGCCATCTGGCAGAAGACCTCACTGCACTCTCTCACCTTCTCAGGGATTATAGATGTACCGTTGCCTTGACAAGAATAACAGAAGGTGAACCCAATGGTATCAGATACTACAAAACACACATCAACATCATTCTATTTACCTCCAGCAATCTCCTAATAACAATTTTGCATTTTGGTCTACAACCCTTTTAAATGGGGAAGCTAGAACACTATGCAGGTAATGGGAATCGAAAAACTCTGTGCTCCTGTCCTGCATGATTTCTCTTGCTCAGTGACTCAAGAGGCAGTGAAGCCGTGATTAGACAGACAAGGAACTTGCAGCTCCCAGAAAAGAGTGTTGTTACTCATAATAACCAGATTCCAGCCCTCATCCTAGAGCAGGCTCTACAGCACATCACTGTATGTTACAGACAACACATCCACCATCAATGAGATATACTCCCTGGCCTCCACTCCCACCACCTATCCACTCCATCAGAGCTCCCCTCTGTTAAAGCTGAACTCCACGAAAAACTAAAACATCTCCCTTGCAGTGGGGCTGCACCTACACTGCAAGGGGTAACTGCTCATTTAGGTCTAGGGAACTTGGAAAAGCAATTTTCACTTACCCCATCCTCCATGCTCCTGAGAATATCCCTGCAGCCTTTTCTCCCCTGCACTCCAGCAGTCTAAGGTCCTCTGACATCAAGACCAATGCAGGATCCATAGCCCTGCATTGGACATGAGGATGCTGAGGAAACGTCCAGTGTTATCACCCGGGGATTGGAAATTCAGGTAAGCAAACTGCTTTTACTGACCCCCTAAACATAAACAAGCAGCGTGTGTGCAGCCTCACTGCTAGAGAGGAGTTTTACTTGAGTTGGGCTTTAAGCATTCAATCCCCAGACCCAAACACTTT